GATTAATAACCCCCTGCCTGCTCCAGTGTTGTTCACACACTTCACCTTGGCTTTGGAGGCATTTTCAGGTAGCTGGATTCACTCCTCCACATCTACACCTGATAGATTCACAGCTAAGGTATTCACAGGCATGGCTAAATTACTCTCAAAAGAGACCTTCTGACTTCCCTCACAAAGTCATTTATATTTAAAGATCACTGTTTGTTGTGGTTTTTTAAAAAGGGTTATATATTATTAAAATGAAACTCTAGTGATCCTTACCATTGCAAACACATGATTTTAGAGCAAACAGTTTAAAGGTACTAAAATAAATTCTCTTTAGGGTTAGATGGGGGAATTTCTCCATTAGAACAAGGTCTTGAATGTGAGTGATTTCTGTGAAGTGTCCAAATGCATCTTTGTAGCAAATTGGAAGTAATTTTAGCAATGCTCCTTTGCAAACCCTGGGCTGTGAGCTCAGTTGTGGTGGATCAGCTGGTGGGGGATTTTGTTCAGCAGCCTAACCTGGTTTTTTAGCCAGGGCACAGATGTTCAAGTGTGTATGTGGAGGTGAAATACAGTGCAGAGATTTGGTAACCTCTCACTGAAATTCCCTGCTTTTCCTGAAGGGGAATTGGAGCAGAAATGGTTTTGTGGGAAAACAGCAGTCTGGTTTCCAGCTGGGTTAGAAATGCAGGCACACAGCTTGGGATTCAGCTGGCACCATCAAAGCTGTGCACCCAGAAAGGCTTCAGTCCTGTTCCCACTGAATTCAACACAAATTGAAATATCTACAGTTGCAGTTGTTGCTTATACTTTGTGGGAGGTAGAGAACTGTGTGGGACAGTGACAGTATCAGGGAATAATTCACTGAGAACTAATGATGGGAGACCCTTCTTTTTTACTTTTCACTGGGGTAGTTGTTGATCTTTGCTACTGACATGCTGAGGTGCAATATTTATTTATTATATCTGCATGTTTGGAGGACAAAGGTGGTTCCTTGGAAAGCTTTGCAGCATCTTAAGCCATACTCTTGTCTGGGAAGAACTGGGAAAGAGGCAGTGTCTTTTGTCCAAAGGTAGAATTGGGATGTTAGGTTTTTGGGAGATGGGGAATTTTCTGGTTTTATATGTTGTGTGTATATTTGGAATTCTTTTGGGGTTTAAAAGTTTGCAGTCATTTTCAGAGATTCATTTGATTGCACAGACTTGAGCAGTCTCTCAGGTTCTGACACTTCCTGCAGTGAGACAGCCTGGTCTAGTTGGTGACCCTGTCCATGGCAGGAGGGTTGGACTAGCTGGCCTTTAAGGTCCCTTCCAACCCAAACCGTTTTATGATTCTACTTAAAAGAGTAAAATTTGTAGTGCATGATGTCCTTCATGTCACCCTGTAAGCTGTTCTTTGTACTGGTGTTATGTATGACTGAAGTATTTATTCCCTAAGCTTTTATAAAGAAAGGGAAGGGTTTTCTGTGGAAATAGTGAGCACTAAAATGTTCTGTCAACATCATCTTGTAACTGTTTGCATGACAGAAGTGTTGACATGTCTAAAAAACCAATCCATAAATGCTGTTCCACTAGCACAAATATTTGAAAAGTAAATAGAAGACAGGGAGGATTGAAAGGAATGTACATGTAGTTTCAAATTTGCAAAGAAAATCCCCAAACAAGCTTTGAGTTCTTCTCCACTCTTCTGTATCACCCTTAACTTACAATACCAAAGAAAACCAGCTCAAATAATCTCTTTCAGTAAAGACTGTGATGAAGATGTTTACACTGAGAAAATACTTCTTCCATGAAATGCCTCTTCCAGATAACTTTGAAAATTGAAAGTGTTTTAAAATAGTGAAACATTTTAGCATGCATTGACTATGTTTGTGTACTAAAACCAATTAAAACTATTTTTAAAAAGTATTTCTATTAAGATGCATTGAGCCACAGTGAAGTAGAAGAACTGCTTTGTATTTAAGTTGCTATTAAGTCCTAACACTGCATTGAACAGAGGCATCCTGGGAAATCATTCTGAAAGCATCTCCTTGAAATAAAGATGCTTTATTGCATCTTTGCTGTACTATTTTGTATCCCAGATTAAATAAATCTGCTGCTTTCATCTGTTGATATGTGCACAACATTGCATTTGGAGCGTGTGCAAGACAGACATGACTTATCATCGTGCTGAGCTGCTTCATCTCTGCTGTCAACTTGCCAGAAAGTTCCTGTGTGATACATGCTGAAAGTGGATTTTTCTTCCTTAAACTGGGAAAAACCAGGCTCCAGAATGCAGCTTAGTGCAAAACCTCTCTCCTTGCTGCTGCTTGTTGTGGGATGAAGTTGCCCACGGTGTTGTTTGACACCAGTGAGACCATTCCCTGCCTTAGAAAAGCAGGCTGATTGTAGCTCATAATCATGGACTTGTTAGGGGAGGAAAAGGCCTTTAAGATCATCAAGTCCATTGGACTCAGTGATCCCTGTGGGTCTCTTCCAACTTAAAATATTCTGTGAAATTCTGTGGACCATCAACCCAGCACCACCACCATAAGTTTCATTGGAGACTAATGCAGGCATTTGGAAAAAAAAAAGCCCAACCTATAAAAACAAGAGGTGTTATTCTAGAAATTCAATTTAGCTTTATTATTTTTTGTGTTTAATTGGGAAGATATATAAAAGCCAGGGAGAAAAATCAATGCCAGATATACTTGCTGGAGGGCTGGGCTCTAGCTGCCATGTAAAGGAATGCCATAAAACTTCTCCTGGCTGTTACAAGCTAAGGATTAAGTCACTTCACTTGCTAAAAACATTCTGTCTCCTGATGCAAAGTGAGGGCTCTATTTATACCTGAGGGTTATTGTTACAAATGTATCCTGAAAACTAGTTCTGGACTCCCTCCCTGCTTGCTGATTTTATGGAGATCTGTTGTATTGTGTTTGCTGAGGATTCTGAATGTTTTGAGATAATCTGGAATTAGGGAATGTGCATAATGCTGTTGCATTACTCTCTGGGGAGTAATTTGATCTGTGTTTTCCTGGTGGCTTAACCCATTTTATAATTTGCTGGCCCGTGGTCAAAACTATGGGCCAACAAGGGTTTTAAGTTATGGAGACTCTTGTGCAGAAGCATTTTGTTGTTTCTGTTTTGAAATGAGAAGAGAACCGGGTTTATTCTCTTGGAGACAGCAGCTGACAAAGGAATGTCTTGATATTCCAGACTTCCAGACTGCTCACTTCTGTATTAGAGGGAAATCCAACTGAATTGTTTCAGTTGGAAAAGATTTCCAAGATCACCCAAGTCCAGCATTCCCTCAGCACCGCCAAAGTCACCACTAACCCATGTCCCCAAGTGCCACATCCACACATCCTGTGAGGCCCTCCAGGGATGGGCACTCCAAACCTCCCTGGGCAGCCCCTGCCAAGGCCTGACCACCCTTTCCAGCAACAAATTCCTCCTCCTGGCCAACCTGAGCCTCCCCTGGCACAGGGGTGTTTGCAGAGGGATCAGGGTTGAGCTGATGTGGTACCTTCAAACTTACAGCTGGAAGCTCAGCTTTAAATCACCCCTGAACAATTGCATTTCAGTGCTGAGTTGGAGTAAAAGGAGACTCCAGGTACAGGCAGTTTGGGAAGAGGTCAAATGTTGGATAAGAATAAGAATCTGGCTGCCCCATCCCTGGAAGTGTCCAAGGCCAGGTTGGACAGGGCTTGTAGCAACGTGGGCTAATGGAAGGTGTCCCTGCCCATGGCAGGGGGTGGAACAAGGTGAGCTTTCAGATCCTTCCAACCCAAACCATTCCATGATTCTGTGGTTCCTACTTTGCCTCAGTATAAATGACATCACTGATTTCTTTCCCCTCAGTAGGAACTGCGTATGTTTTATCCCACAAAATGAGTCCCAAGCTCGGATATAAGCAAACAGTTATTTAGCAGAGTCTGGGAGGTACTTCCCAATCCTGTTTTCCTGCACACCACAGACACCTGCAGCATGGTGAATTTAACCAGCAATCCTGTTTATCTGCTGAAAAACAAACTGCAATTTTAGCAATTGTTTGGACTCTGAAAGGCCCTGTTTGTGTGATCTAAGGAAAGAATGGTACCGTGTCCCTCTGCCTGCTTTCTGTGCAGAGAACTGGGAATATTGCATTGCTATTGCCTGTTCAACATACCTAAATGTTGCCTGTGTTCTAATGGTAAATGGGAGCACAGAAGGATTTTTTGATGTGATTAATTTGATAGAATTGGAACTGGATCTCAGGTCAGAAACCTGTGTATCCTGCAGTGCCCTGCTGCCACTGGTGCCCCAGCTTTGTAACCTGAGTCTGTGCAAGCAAATCCACAGGACAAATTGGATTTCACCTGGTTTGGCACCCTGATCTACCCTGAAATCTGAATTTACTGGTGTATGAACATATGCATGAACTGGCATCTGAGTGTGTGCCTGGTGCTCTCTGTGCATTTCCCACTTCATTGCCCTCATGAAAGCCAGAATAAAGAGCAGATAAGTACAATAATGTGGATTTCTCAATCTCCAATACTTGATAATTTCTTCCGAACACACCACTGCAACTTCAGGCTGGTAAATGGGAAAGAAGCAGAATAGTCAGACTTCAGTTTGTGGTTGGAAGTAGCAATGGATATGTAAAGAATCCAAGAGAATTCTGTTATGTACAGATTATTTCTTGTGGGGTTCTTATGGAATAAATTGGTGGGGCGAAAACTTAGAAAACTTTGAAATCTCTGATCTGAAGAGCAGATGCAGTCTTGGAATGGCAGCCGATGGATCATCCCATTGCAGCCCATCTAAAACCCATTTCAAGTGTGAAGCATGTTCAGCTTTATCAGATTGTTTTCTCTTTTGCAGGCTTCCAACAGGACCTTTGATATTCCTCTCACTTTGTCCGGAGCAGTAGTTCTACGGGAAAGACTAAATTATGAAGAAAAGACTCGTTATTTTGTCATTGTTCAAGCAAATGTGAGTATAAATCTCTTAAAGGCCATTTCTGCCACTGATTTAGGGGGGTTTTTAGTTTCCTTTCCAAGCAAAGGCAAAACCTTGCTGAAATATCAGGTCTGATAAATCCTCTTCTCCTGAAGATCTAATTTAAGATTTATCTGGGCTACTGAAAGCTCAGACATATTATTACTGGTTAAAAAAGCCTGCTCAGTGTGTGTGACAAGCCAACCTTTTTGGCACAAGGAGCAAGTTGCAAATTTGCAGTGCAGCCCATGCAGAAAAGTGCAGTCTGGTGGCACTAAGTGTTCATTTTCTAACAAATCTGGCAATGCTAATTTGAGCTTAAAGGAGTATAATGGATACAATTTCCTTGTATCCTTCAGGTTTGAAATGCATTTTGCTCTAAAGAGGTGATTTTTCCTTCAAGTCATATCACAAGTGTGCAGAGAGGTTTTCCCAGAGTGGCTGGCAGTGGATAATACGCGGAGAAGGAAAGTGATGTTTAAACTATATCTCAGATATCTGTCATCAGAGGAGTTTTTTGGTGCCCTTGAGGGCTGTGGAAGCTTTTTTCCCTTGTTGTCCTTCTGATAACAGCTGTAAATGAAAACTTCTCCTTTGTTGTTTACCCTGTTGTGATACGACCTCATTCAAGGGAAATGAGGCAGCTGGAGATATCTCACTCCTGAATCCTCACGTTTGGGGTTCTGTCATCTCCCCGATACAGAAGCACAGATACATTTCCCAGTCTGTTTTCTTACGTATTTTGTGGCATGTTCAGCATTCTGCCAACAGAAGACAGGCTGTGGGGCTGGCTCAGTGCTTCCTGAGCTTCTGCCCTGCTCAGGGGAGACCCCCCTGCAGAGCTGCTCCAGCCCTGGGAACAGCCCAGCAAGGACATGGAGCTGCTGGAGCCAGGCCAGAGGAGGCCCCAAGAGGATCAGAGGGCTGGAGCAGCTCTGCTGGGAGGAAAGGCTGGGAGAG